GGCTCTGAGTGCCTGGTTTTGCAGCAGTAACCATTTTCCTTTTCTTTGGTTGATTTGGTTTGTCTTTTTGACCTAGTGCTTTGTCAGGCAGTTGTCATGTGTGTTATGGCAGTTGCTGTGGCTTGGCAGGCTGTTTGCTGGCAGTGGGTGGTAGAATCAGCCCTCTGGGGTCAATCTGAGCAGTGGAGTGGCAAGGTACCATCATTTTCAAACTGAATTCAACCTGCAGTCTTTCTGGGCCACCAAGCCAGCCTATCTTCAGAGCATTGCTGGTCACCCCACTGTGTCCAGTAGTGGCACCAAGATGACCAGTGCCAGTCCTTGAGATGGTAACCTGGGGAGAGTGCCGATGCCATTCTCTCTTGTTCCACCCTTCGTGCAGGTAGTGTGGCTTGCTTCTTGGTTTGACTGCCGCCTGTTTCCCAGGCCTGTTTGTTTTTCAAGACACTTCATACAGAATCTGTGGAGCCTCAGTGGAAATTACTGCTTGCTTAGATAGACAGCATCCATTTCCAGTGGTACTTGCAAAAGGAGAATGCTTTGGCTACAGGGGAGAAGGTACTGTGAAGAGCAGCAGTTCCTGTCCACCCGCACGCTGAAGACCCAGGCGCTCTTTAGTGATGCTCTGGTGTCCTTGAACTGCCAGTGGCAGTCTGGTTCCGCTCCCCTTCATCCTGCATATGTGATTGTGCTTGCACATGTATGTGTGCACACTGGGAAGAAGTGCATGGGCCCTAGCAGCATGTGGGACTGCTATACTTGTGTATTTTCCTTTTCCCTGAAAAAGAAGGTGAAAGAGTTTTAAAAAATGGATTGAACCTCTCAACTTTAAATCTTTAAAAATTGCTCCTTATTGAGAGTTTAATAGTTTTTTAAGTGTAAACTCAGGAAAATATTTACTTTTCAAGCATGAATATCCTTCTACTTTCTCACATCACTGAAAGTGTATTATTCTTTTCAGTCCATTGAATTCCAGGGATCACTCACATTAAAAGTCAATGTGGTTTCCAGTGTCAGAAGATGTAAGGTTTTGTGTTTTGTTGGAATCCCTTCTCGCTTATTTTCCTGAGTGATACTGGCCGAAAATTTTTCAGATGCATATGGCTCAAAAGTATTCAGATGCTTTCCCAAGGGTAAAAGGTAATTAGATCGAGGAATGTCTTTAAAAACTGTCATAGACCCAATTCTGGTACTGTTATTTACGCAGATAAGGGCTGTGTAACAACAGTGGGAGGATCAGCCGCAAACCTCAAACAGATGAAACTCATAGACTTAAATCAAAAAGAACATGGGTTTTGTTTCTTTGAACTTGGAACTTCTACATTTTATTGCTGTGTGATTAAAACACTGGAACAGAATTGCTCATTTCCTTTTTGCTGCCTTTTTATAGCTACAAGTCCCAATCTGAGTATCTTGCTCTTATTATCAGCACTGCACCTACTCACTGCTCCTTGCTTGACTTTGGTGACTCCCATTGACTACAGCGGAAGTCTGTCCAAGTAAGGCGTGTGGGTCTGGATACAGGAGTAGCACTCTCATCTGCTAGAGATAATATCTCGATAGTGACAGCTTGTTTTTAAAATCCATGTGGTTGTCTTTACATACGCCTATGCACATTCAGAGACCAGCATATATAGCCCAAATTGCCTAACCTTCAAAACTGTGATCAGTTTGGAAGTCAGTGGAAAAACAACCCATGTTATTTAGATCAGTGCTTCAGACCCTGAGGCAATTTGTGAGACCAACGAGTTGGTGACAGGAACTGTTCCCATGTAATGACACTTTCCATTTGAAGTTTGATTGGGATGTCTGATGCCCCATGAGGAATGTTGGAAGACTGGTGGAGCTCCACTGGTCCAGAAGGCGTAAGAGCCACGGCCTGAGGTGCTAAGAAACAGATGTGGGTGTCTGTCTACCAAAAAAGTTGCCCTTTGTGTCATTCCCCAGCTTTATACTACATTAACATAGAGTTGCTGGAAAAATAGATCATAAAAATGAAGTGGCAGTTTTGCAGTAGTAGGATTTTAACATGCGTGCTATAGCATGTTGGGTGGGTGTTCTGTTGGATTCTTTCTGTTTAGGAAAAAAACTTCTGTAAGTTTGTCACAGAGATTTATAGATCTCAGTATTTAAAAATGGGCCTTTCCATCACTCCAGGCACATGCACACTACCAATATTAACAAATGCTGTAAAATAAATAAGCCTCTTGCCCATTTGGCTACTCAGGAGTAAACAAAAAATTATCCCCTTTCAACCTCAATCGCTTCCTTCATACTTCTTCCCCAGAGCCTGGGAACACAGAGATTCCTTTCAGCATGTCCTAAATCTTAACACATTGGGCTTTGCTAAATCAGAGCAGAATGAGGTTTCAGAGTCAGGGAACGGAGCTCTTGAGCCAGCCAGCGCCATTGAAGCCACACTACTGTTTGTTTACTACGTAATGCAAGGTACCTCATGGAGGAAGAGATGATTCCTGATACTAGATGTGGCCAGATCCAACCAAAGCATGTGTTGTTGGCAGGCAAAAGCTAAGACCCTGAATGACCACTGAGGAGCTAGTCTTTAGCACATGTCAGGAGAGGTGCCGATTGCTGCATTTTCTGTAGGTGATTTACCCATTGACATTGGGGTGTGGACTTACAGAGCATCTCTGTTCTGTTGTTTTTTAGTAGTCAAAGCATGAACCACTCCAACAAGTTACTCACCTGAAATAATGCATGGTGTGTACTTCAGATCATGGGAGTGTGGTGCAGACTGGGCCACCCAGTGAGTATGTTTGTGCTGTGAGCCTGTCTCACCAGGTGAGCCAGCTTCCCTTCCAGAGGAGCAGAAGGGTTCCTCTGTTCCTCCACTCGTTTTCCCTAACCTGCATGCTTGCATCTGGTTCAAGTCCTAGGAGCTCTTAGGCAGTGATGAAATCCCATGCACAGACTTAGCAGAGGAAGTGAAGTGGAAAGACAAGTTGCATCCTCATCTGGACACTGAGGAGATGTGACTTCTCCTTGGACTCCACCATCAACCCAACTTACACACTGAAAAGGGGAAGTAGGAAACACAGCATCAGGAATCGCCTGGTATGTTCTTCTGGCAGAAGAGAGCTTGGCTCTTGCAACCCACAAGGAGCGTTTCTGATCCTGCAGGGCTTCTGGGTGTCAGGATTGGTGGGCTAGAAAAAGTAAAAATCTACAAAGTTGTTCCCAACTGCAGGTTACCTAGGTGCTCTTCTAACCTGCTCTAGGTGCAAATCAGTGCCCTCTTCCAGCAGGCCAGTGGTTATTCAGGCTCAGAGGTGTTGGAAACTTGTTCGGCTGTTTTGTATGTTTGACCACATAGCAGAGGGTCCAGACCCAGGTTCCTCTTTCTGTGTCATTAAACCATTAGCAGCATTCACAGGATGTCTAAAAACAGTTGGAAGTTGTCTTGACTACTTTGTCACCCCCATATCTAAGCACTGCATTCTTTTCTTTGCCTTTTAGCTAGGAGAAAATATAATATGGGGTTAATATCCCGTTCATCAGGTTAAAAGAAAAGTTTTATGTCAGAGGTAAAAGACAATAGTAGAGTCTGCTTTGGCAGGGTGATGTTAGAGCCTTACTTGTCCCTTACATGCATCAAAGGAGAGACTTGCATGAAATCAAGGAGCCAGGTTCTGCTCCTGGGCAAAAACAGATCTAGGGTCTCTTTGGGCAAAACTCTCTGAAAGCAAAAGAAATTGCCATTTTGTCTAGTCACAGGAAAAGTAGGTGAAAATGATACATGATAACATGAGACCTCAACTCCATAATGTCTTTTCCATCTCTTGGTAACCAGTGTTGTGTTTAATATCACGACAAATCAGGAAGCTGAGCTGCACGCGGAAGTTACTGCAGAAGCATACAGTACTACAGAAATGGGATGCTGGTGTTTTTTAAGAAGGTGTTTCATATTTTCCCAGTGATGGGGTAAAACCAAATGGCTGCCGTTTACTTTTGTTGAATCCCGTTGGATTTGCCAGACTGTGAAAGTCAAGCCTGACCTTTTCTTTTTTTCATTGAACTTCAGACGTGCTAGAAGTCCCCAGAGTCTGCAAGCACCCAGGGCTCAAGCGTGGAGGAGCTGCTCGCTTGCGCCCAGCGGTGCGGTTTGGGGGCAGAGTTTAAGCCTCAACTTTGCATTCCTTGTTCTTGCGCAGTTGTGCTGGATTCATCATGGCTTCTAAAAAACAAGCAATGGCTGTAAACAATATTCTCTTTTAAAAGATCACAGCCTGGTAATATTCTCCACTAAACAGTAAAATCCAGAACATAATAAGTATTGATGATTAAGGTGTCAAGGGCTCATGGAGCTCCGGCTGTGATTTAGTTTCCTCTACTACCGATGCATTTTGCTAATTACATCATAGATTTTCCTATTGATGAACAGAATCTGAATTAACACGGGAAGCACTAATGTTACCCTTTCACTATTATTGTTGTACAAGAAGCCGTGGCAGATGCTGGCAGTTAGTTACACAAACATTAGTATTAACGATTGGCCATTTGGAATTGGTGACAAACTGCTGCCCGCCGGAATCCTGAGCCTGAAACCAATCAGGAAGTTAATGAGGAGAGAAATTACCACTGCAGCTTCCCCTTAATTATATTCACGGTAGGCAGGAAGGGAGTGTTGGGGGTGGATCTCGACTCATCTAAGGTTAGGAAGGTCAGAGACCCTTTTACTTGGTTTCTGTATCTACTGCAAATTGCAATGTTGCAACCGTTCCTAGCGCTGCATTACTTTTAAATTCTTCAATATTTGAGGCTTAGCCTCGGCCCGCCCGAGCCAGGGCCTTAGGTTAGTTTCCGGGGGGTGGAGGGGTTGCGGCCCCCAGACCAGAGGTTGTCGTCCCGTGTTCCTTCCCCCCGCCCCGTTACTCCCGCTGCGTTCACCTTGGCCGGAGGAAGGGAGGCCGGCACCCCACCGTGCGGGGGGGGCCCCTCTCAGGCGCTGTGTTTTTTCTCTCTCTTCCCCCCACTCGCAGTGTTTTCGCCGCCCAGCAGCCAGGACTCCGGCCTGGGGTGCCTGTCCAGCAGCGAGAGCACCAAGGGGGACCTGGAGTGCGAGCCCCCCCCGGAGCCCGGCGCCTTCGCGGTGAGCCGCGTCCTGGAGGGCGGCGAGTAGGCGCGGCGCGGCTCGGCGGTCCTCGCCGGGGCAGGGCGGTGCAGCAGCGTTCACGGTTTGCTTGTTCTGTTTGGGGGTTGCGGGGTAGGGGGGGGGTGGGGGTGTTGCGTTTAGTTTCTTCTGACGGGTGCGGGGCGGGATGCCGGCTCCCCTGCGGCCGGCGGGGGC